CCCCCGGGCCCCGCCGCTGAGCCCTCCGGGGACGGTCACCCCTAAACGCGGGTCAGGGCGAGGGGGGTGCCGGTGCCGGGCGGAGGCCCCCGGGCAGAGGGAGCAGCGCTGGGACTGCACATCCCTCGATGGGGGAGAGGGTGCCCATGAGACGTGAGGGACAGAAGGTGAGAACAGTCTCCCAGCTGAACCATCGTGCTTCCATCTGGGAAAGGGTCTTGGACATCAGAGCACGGCTAAGAGCTCTGCAGGATGTCTGGCACAAAAAAGCCATATGGGACACCATGGGGGTGTGCAAGGAATCAGCTTCGGTGACACCATTTTTCACTGCTCTATCCCCAAACCAGACCTGCAGTTAGCTCCACACAGACTTAAACTTTGAAGCACTGCAACCCTCTAAAAGATATTCCTACTGAGATATCACGGGATATTGATATATCTGTATTGAGATAGCATGGGAACAGGCATTGTAAATGTAAATATACTGCCCTAGCAGGTAATATCCAACAGGTAAGTATGGAAGACTGCATTAGTAAGCTCTTTCTTTCCCAATGCGGAGTGTGAGGGACACTACCACAGCCACTTTTGACTGGGCAAGAGTGTTTTTTTGTAGACCAGCTTTGGAGACTTGCCCTCCTATAGCAGTGGGTTGGTGGGAGGGGACAGAGCAGCTTACTGAAGATCTTTCTTTTGTCACGGGGTAGCATGGGATTGTACTAGTAATAACGATTAAGTCCCTTTTGGGATGACTCATTTTAGTCATTAGGGTTACCTAGGTACTCTGAAGCACTGAAACTGCCTTCCTGCTTCCAGCAATATCGCTCAGATACTACACTGAGTTAGCATGGTTTGATGGCCAAGATGATCATCTGACAGGACATTGCCAAACACAGCAAATAGTATAGTAAGGATGGCAGATGAGAACAGCTGGGAAAGCCGGGAATCTCCATGTGTTAAGTGATTGACACGAGCAACAGTAAGACAATAGTGTATCGAGACTGACATAGTGCAAGTATATAAAAAAGATGAAATAATGCAAAACAGAAAACCACAAAATGACAAGGGAGATGGATAACCCAGCAGGATGAGAGGTGGACGCTTAGTCAAAGGCTGACATGTCCTGAGAGGGATTTCAGTAGATTGGGTGGCTGAAATCTTGTATGCATTATGGAACAAGATGTGGGCATAGCGATTAAGTAATCATGAGACCTTATACTTGATTCTCTCCATCTTTCCATTCTCCTGTTTCTCCACCTGTTATGTGCAGCTTTCTTTCATTCTGTTGCTGCTGTTTGGCTGTGAGTTCTTCAAGAGATCCATCATGTTTGTCTGTGTTTTGTGAGCTGCAGAACAAAGCAGCTACCATGAAAGACACAAGAATCTGATCATTATCCCCTTCAGTTCAAAATATTTCTAAGTATCACTGAAAAATGTTCAGAATAGTTTTACAGTCACAAATATGATTATACACTTACAAAAGGACTGAAGAAATTTTAATTATTTCCTTAGAGTCAGGCTTTCTGTTTTGCCATGTAAAAAAAGAAAACAAAAAATCATGGCTGGGTCAATTTCCCATCTAGGAACTGTGTTTTGGGCATGGCTTTCTCAGAGTAATAGACTTCAGTGGCAGCCAGATCCTGAAACTTCTGTAATCTGTCTACATCTTGTCTTGAATATAAAAATGTGAAACTAATGCATTTCCATCAACTAGCTATGATGACAAGAAAAGAGAGGATTTATGAGGTTTTTTTTTTACCAGGAGCAAGGATGTAGCAGAGCTCTGGCCTTGATAAGTGTAAGCACAATGACACAAGCCTGGAGTCATCCTTTGTACTTGGAAAAGACAACAGGGTGCCAGTGACGCAAGGGCACTGGAAGGACACAAAGGTGGAACTGGCATTTCCATCATTTTTAGATAGAAGAGGTCTGTCCCAGTGAGGCAACTTGTTATATTTGCCAAGCGTATTGAATTACTCCATTCAGTGCAGAATTTCAGCTTCCAGCAAGCCTGCACGAATGGAAACTGAGAACTGAACCTGTTTCAACAGCCCTCTGACTTACATCTTATGTTGATTTGCTCCTTGCTGCGTACCATTTTCCAATGGCACATCAAATCTTCTGCTTGTTATTTTTCCCTGACCCAGAAGTCTGTAGCTGAATGGGAGAGAAGAATTCAGCATTGTTTGGGGCCAGCCCTACCTTGCTCATCTGGCTGCTCAGACTTTTAAGTGAACAGGAGTTGTAATGTTAACATTTTCAAAAGTTCTCAGAAAAAAGATTTTACATAAATCATATGTGGCCAGGAGGGTTTCAAGAAAGTCTTACAGAAACTTTCAAAATCTGGTGCTTCTCCCCTCCAGGAATGTGTATAATTGTCTGCAGGTAGGGTACTTGGACACACTGAGCTCTCATTATGCTAACATCTACAAAATCGTTATTGTCTACACAGCATTTATGTATCTTAGTGCATTCTTTGTAAAACAGTGTATAAAGGTGAATGGGTTTGTATGTTCTCACAGCTGCACTTGAACTGATCCTGCAGACATTTCCATGCAAAAATAATCACATAACTTACTGCACACCATATTTTCATGATTAATGAATTACCAAGCCACCATTCATATTTAATCCCACTGGACTCTGCTTCTTATGCAAAACTAAATCGGAAACTGGTCATTTTAATTCCAAGAAGCTATTAATTTCCATTGAAAGAGAAAGCACTGGAAAAGATTTAAAAATGCAGATATATACAGGATGTGATCCATAACCGAATGAAGTCCATGCAAATTTTTCCAGTGATTCTAGAGGGCTTTATACAAGGACAAAGTTCTTCATATTTTCAGAAATTATATGTATGGTGATATGCATATATACACATTCATTAATGAATTACTTCAATGAGAAGCCTAAGCCTTGTCATTCATTTTAGCTAGAGCTACTTGAAGTTCTCCTTACAAAAAATGAGCCAGATCCATATCTGGCAGAAGTCAGAAATGCTACACTGAAGCCAGCTGGGAACTTGACCCAGAATCTAAGTGACTATGATTTTCTTTGAAAACATTTGTTGTTCATAGCTGTTCTTCAAATGCTTTTCATTAATAATTTTTTGTAGATGGGTTTTCTGAGACTTCTTAGTTCTGACTACCAGACTTCTGTCTTCACTGGCTGAAGAGCGTCTAGCTGTAATATCCCAAGCATTTCTGAAGATGTGTGGAAATCAAATATGCCAGTTATAATAGCAATCCAACCTAAAATGTCTCCCAAATAAAAGCAAGAAATAACAAGATGAAGAATTCTCATCCAGAAAGCACTAACATTTCAGCATTATGTGAAGCATCACAAACTTTGATTTTGATGACCAGACACCAACAGAGACCAAAATGTAAGAACTCTCTAACGAGAAACATGAACAACACAGATGGTTTGCAGGGACAACAAAAGTTATTTACTCAGTTATTCTCAGTCCACCATCATGGTGTGATGGGCTGAGGCCAACTGAAGGAGTTTCAATAGGGTCAAATGCCGGGGGCTGCCCTTGGGCCACAACAACCCCCAGCAGCGCTACAGGCTTGGGGAGGAGTGGCTGGAGAGCTGCCAGTCAGAGAGGGACCTGGGGGGGCTGATTGACAGCTGGCTGAACAGGAGCCAGCAGTGTGCCCAGGGGGCCAAGAAGGCCAATGGCATCCTGGCTTGTGTCAGCAATAGCGTGGCCAGCAGGGACAGGGAAGGGATCTGACCCCTGTACTCGGCACTGGTGAGGCCGCCCCTCGATTCCTGTGTTCAGTTTTGGGCCCCTCACTACACAAAGGACATTGAATGACTCGAGCGTGTCCAGAGAAGGGCAACGTAGCTGGTGCAGGGTCTGGAGCACAGGTCGTACGGGGAGCGGCTGAGGGAACTGGGGGTGTTTAGTCTGGAGAAGAGGAGGCTGAGGGGAGACCTCATCGCCCTCTACAGCTCCCTGAAAGGAGGTTGCAGAGAGCTGGGGATGAGTCTCTTTAACCAAGTAATAAGTGATAGGACAAGAGGGAATGGCCTCAAGTTGCACCAGGGAAGGTTTAGACTGGATATTAGGAAGCATTTCTTTCCAGAACAGGTTGTTAGGTGTTGGAATGGGCTGCCCAGGGAGGTGGTGGAGTCCCCATCCCTGGAGGTGTTTAAGAGTCAGGTCGACATAGCGCTGAGGGATCTGGTGTAGTTGGGAACTGTCAATGTTAATTGTTGGACTGGATGATCTTCAAGGTCTTTTCCAACCTAGATGATTCTGTGATTCTATGGTGTCACGTCTCTTCTGAAAGGAAGTATTCATGTGTGATATTGAGATGTGGCTGGATTTCCCTTATCAACTTCTATCCCATTTGATGTTTAGTGAGGATTAGCAGCACAGTCAGTCTTGAAAGATGTAGAAGGAAATTCTGATCCTTGGCTGTTACTCCTCACTACAGTCCTGCCTTCCTTTAGAGATCCATCACAGTAAGAAACATTTTGGAATAAGTTATTCCCTAGATTTTAATTATAACAATTTCACAATTGTATGATATGGAAAAAGTCTCTCTTACATTTTCATACATTCCCACATTAAAACATGTATCTGAGAACCATCATAACTGGAAGGGGGATAAGGTTTAAAAACTGGAACAGTATTGGTACTTGGTTTTGGCTGTGGCAGAATTTGCAGAGGTAGCACTGGGCTCTAGAAGGCAACTTCAAGTAGTGTGGAACTGCAAGCTAGCATGGCTGGCTGTGGTGGAGGAAGGTGTCTTTTCAAAATATTTGGATAATACCACAGAATAATTTATTGGGTTTTTTTGGTTTTTTTTTTTTCTTGTCTAAATTTCATTCAGTATTTGTATTTTTTAAAAATAAAAAAGAAAATTCAGCATTGAAG